AAAATGAAAGCCGCGAACACGAGCTCGTGCCAGGCGATAGTGAGCAAGAAACCGGTCCAGAAGCGGATCGGGGACATCCTGCTGCACAGCTGGTCAGAGATCTGTGGCGGAGCCGATGAAAGGGCCTGTTTGACCGGCATCCCAGAGGATATGAAGGACTACTTCATCGTCCAGTTCGGACAGCGGATGAAGAAGACTTGCAGTGTTCTCTTTCGGACAGATCTTAACCTGCCCACCCTGGTGGTGGTGCTGGAAGGCACCTTGACCATCGGAGGGTTTCGCCAGCGAGTGCTCAAGGGGAGCACAGAGGCGGAAAAGGCAGCAGAGTTGGATGCCTTGAAGGCACCGGATGTCCAACGCATCGTCAACAAGGACGGCTGGGTCGTCAAGCTGGAACCCGAATCCAGCATGGTGCTGCCTCCCGACACAGTGTTTTTCGAGATCGCAGGTGATGCAGAAGTGCACACAGTGCGGCAGTTGCTGGGGCGTGAATGCTTCCTGCCCTGTACCAAGGAGTATTTGAAGAAACTCGAGTCTGCAGGAAGTCTGCAGGACGGGAGCCGACTGCAGAGAATGCTGGAGTATTTGAAGATGAACGGAGCCGGCTCGAGCTGAAGTAGGGCCAAGCCCGTCAGCCAGCGGACCACTGCAAGCATGAGCAGCGGCTCACTGCAAGCATCAGCGTGATGATTGCCACGCTCGAGGTACGGTGTGCCGCCGCTATGAGTGACAGTGCAATGTTGCAGTGCAGTGTATCTGCTGGTCTGCTGGGCCGAATGGGCCGTGCCGTGCCACCAGCTTCTTTTGATGCATTCTCCGAGTGCTCGCTGGGAATCAGATATTCTTTCGCATAGGGTCCCAGCATAAAACCAGGGAAAAACGACTTGTAATGTCGGCTCAGTGTTTTTTCGGTTCCGGTTTGAGGTTCGGGGGTGAGGGTTTTTTGTCGGGTTGGGCAGTGAGGTTTTAGGGGTAGGTTTCTAAGTTAGGGTTTAGGGTTGTAGTTCAGTTCAGTGTGTGTGCGTGTGTGTGTGTGTGTGTGTGTGTGTGTGTCTGTGTGTGTATGTGTGTGTGCGCAATGCCACGGTTTGCAGTTTTGGCTTTTTTCGCAGTGATCCAGTTGTTTAGGCTACCGGTTTGTCTCTGTGGTGCGCTGAGCTCCATGAGTCTGATGGGAAACGTGGGCCAGTCGGGCGACACCCGTGCGAACCCACCGATGACCCCAGTCAAGAAAGCCAGGCCCACCAGGCGCATGTTTAACTCCCCTGCGATGGCCAGAGCGGTGTTTCCTGGCGCTGCAGATGATGATACTGTGCCCGACACACTGCCATTCCTGACTCCGGAAACGGAGGCTTGGGCCTCCCCCGTGGGACTGGAAATGCTTCCGCCCACGAGCCCCGAAACTCCGGATCCGAATCTTGCCCCCCCCCCTTTGAAACGGGGGTTCAGACGGCAGTTCAGTGAAGTCGAGGATTTGGAAAAGGTTTGCTTGGAAGAAGAGTTGGCGACTGCAGAGAGAGAGACCAAGAGGCTGAAGGCAGAAAACCAAAGATTGCAAAGCAGCGTGGACTCGCTTCAAGCACACAAGGCTTCCTTGCAAGGCCAGCTCGAACACTTGAGAGGGGCACTGCACAGTGCCATGACCAATGGCGCCGGCGCCAGCAGCAGTTCGGGAAGGTTTGGGCTTGTGACTCCAGACGGACTGCGAGCACTGTTTGGAGAATCCACTTTTCACATGGAGGATCGCATCTTCCAAACAATCCAAGTGACGGAGTCTCTTGAATTCGGGGCTGGGCAAGATGGAGGTCCAGCTTAAAGCCCAACATGGCCAAGAGAGAGCAGCCTGCGACCCGGAGTTCGCAGATTTTGGATCGGACAACAAGTTATGCTTTTAGGAAAGCATGGATGGAGTGTATAGTTTGAAGCCAAAGTGGCCAAGCGAGACCAGATCGCGTCCCGGAAAAACAAGTTGTGCTCTATGTGTTAATTTAGGGGTTTGGGTTCGAGGTTCGTGGTTTTTGTGTTTTTTTATGTTTTGTTCTTACTGTTGCATTCGTAATCGTAGTTTGTTGGCATGTGTGACTGTATTAGACCAGGCATGTAGTATCGCTGTGGTAAAGCAGAGGCGGCCTGACTAGTATTGCAGCCTTTTGAGGCTTTGATCTTGGAAATGTCAGGTTATTGCTGACAACTTTTCAGGCCCAACTCCATTCACCCTGAAATTTGGGCCAGGTACTAGAAAGCCTTTTGAAAACTGCACCAAAACAGAAGAGGCAGAGATGTACCACCGAAAGTTGCTTCAGACCACACAACATGGGTAAACTCGGTGTCTCGTGCCCGTGAGAATTCTTTCACGTTTGCAAAACGAAAGTTCGAATAAACATATCAGGAGGTGGGTCAACGGAAGTGTAAACAACGATGCAAAATGCACGGCACAACCAGACGACTTGGGCCGGAATTTAAGCAACCGACTTTCCGAAAGTGGGCAGAGTGGCATTGTTGCTACTAACATACTCGAGGCACATGTGTTTCTTCTGGGACGGGGGCATTGGTGTGCTTCGGAGATGTAAACGAAAAAATAAGGTAAAGCGACGAAAACAGACGACAACCAAACTTTCGGCCCCTGGGTGATTGCACAATGCAAAAATGTTGTTTTTTTCAGTTACCCAAACCCCAGTTCTTAGCACAATGGATGTAAAGTGTTGCCAACGGGTGTTGGGGCTCGAACCTCGTACCGCTTTGCCCCGAAAAGCTGGGCGGTACCCCCAACCCGGTCCCAGAAGCAACGACCATAGGACTTTGAGTCCGTCGTGCTGTTA